TCCCGCGTCTACCAAGTGTAAATATAGAAATCCATATATAAATATATATATAATAAGAATATTATTGTTGCTGGTGTTGATTTTAGTATGGGCTGTTCTAGTGGGAATTCTTCAGGTTCAGGTTCAGGTTCAGGTTCATTATCTCAGATCGTGCTTCAGAACCAGAGCTCTGGTTCTGAAGAGGAGCTGAGGCAATTGATGGACCAAAGAAAACGAAAGAGAATGCAATCGAATCGGGAATCCGCGAGGCGATCACGGATGAGAAAACAGCAGCACTTGGATGGGCTGATGGGGCAAGTGGCGAACCTCAGGGAAAACAAAAACCAAATCGTCTCGCGAATTAATCTCACCACGCACCTCTTCCTCAACGTCGAAGCAGAGAACTCTGTTTTGAGAGCTCAGATTATGGAGCTCAGCCATAGATTAGAGTCTTTAAACCAGATCCTCTTTCACATCAACAACACCGCCGCCGAAGAACAAGAAGACGACGATTTTCTTCCGAGTTTCGACGACGATTCTTATTTTGATATTCATAACCCATTCGCCAATTCCTTCTTCCTCGCCCAACACCAACCAATTATGGCTTCTGCTGATCATCATCACGTGCTTCACTACTGATCATCCACCACTGATTTAGGGGAGACCTTAATTTTAATCTTAATCTCAATCTCTTTTGGTTTCTGTTGATGGATCAGATCGGACCAGATTGGTTAATCAGAAAATTAAGTGTAAAATATTTATATATATATATATATATATAAGTTTTGATTTTGGGGGTTGGGTAGGATTATTAATCTCGTCATGACGCTGGTGGAAATCAAATGATGAATATGATTGAAGAAAGGATTTTCAAACTTTGGGAAAAGCAACCAAAGAAAAAAAAGTGTAAACTGGTTTCTCGGATTTTGTTTGGATTGGCGAATGGGTCGTTTTCAGTATGATGTAATGGGGCTTTTGATGCGGTTCTAGGGGCCCTCTTTGTCATTATATATTCATATAATATAATCTTTCTATCATTACTTAATGAAATATTTTCTCTTTCTTCTCCCCTTTTCCTAGCCACTAGGAAAATATGATTATTTTATTGCCCTTCTATTTAAGCTTTTTCTAAAATATTATATTACTCGTGACAGAGGATATTTGAGCTTGTGATCTATGAAGGAGAGATTGGGCGTGATTGATGCTTAATTTAAGTTCTTAAATCTTAGGGAATGGTTTTTATTGTATATCTATGGTTGTAAGTCAATCATGGAATATGCCACTTGATCTAATCCCAACCAAGCTAAAATAAAACATATCAGTAAGATAATTAAAGAAATATAAAAGATAAAGAGAATGAAACTTTGTGTCTTTTGCTGAATCACTTTATTCACACAAACTCTTCTTGCAACCACTATTTATAAAATTGTAAAGACAAAAATGACAAAAATATATGTAAATTAGGAATAAAAATTTGTGGAGTTGTAGAATTTGTAATATATATAGTTATTAGACATCTACTTTATATGATATTTTATGAGAATATGTCAAAATAATAATAATTATTATTATTATTATTATTATTATTATATTATGTTGAGAATACCTAAATTCCTCTTTACATAATATTAGGCAATAGTCAAGTACATAGCTTATAAAAATATATTAAATATCACAATGGTTCAATGTATTTAGTCGCCAACTAAACATAGCCAACCTGTTGGATAGATATCCTCAACTAAAATGTCAAAGGTTCAAATCTCAACCTTACATATTGTTGAACTAGAGAATGAATAAATGTTGGATCTATATATACTAGACTTTCTTTTATTTTTATTTTTTACTTTTTATTTTTTACTTTTTGAGTCCATGAGATGTGGGATATCGAACTCACAACCTTTTGCTCGTTTTGGCTACTAAACTTCCTTTTAACTAGTTAGTGTAGGTTAGAGAAAAAAATATCCAAGCTAAATTAAAAAGTGCTTAGGTAAATAATCTTGTGTCTCTCTAATAAATCAAAACCACCCTTAACGTAACGGCCTGTTTCTAGTAGGTTAAATGGCAGGTGAAAATGGGTTCAATAGGTCAAATGTTCAGAGCATAAAGTAAATTTTCCTTTTTTAAAATACAATTAAAAACAAACATGGAGGAAACTATAGATAAATGAGATTAGTTTATTAGGAGGATTCCCCTAATGCTTTTTTTTTTTTTTTTCCTTTTGGAGTCCCCTAAGGCTGTTAATAATAATAATAATAATAATAATAATGGCATTAAAGTACAGTTTACATAAAGCAAAGGCACTATTAAGAAAGTGTATTATAATGGCAAGTCCATGAATTGCCTTACGTCTCACATGGCTGCAGTAACCAAACACAGCCTTAAAAAATATTTCAAACATTAAGCTGTCCTTTTTGATTCGCATATTACCACGTTCTCCTGTGAACTTCACTTCTCATTGCTCCACTCATTAATTTGTCTTTATCTCTCTCATAATAATCATCTTATTCATAATCAAATTATCATTCTTTTTCATGCTATATGTTATTTGGTTGATTAGGAAGTCGTCTTAATTACTCACAAAATCAGATTATTATTTGTGCGTACCAATGATGCAATCAATACTTATTTTATTTTAGTACTTATTTATTTTAGTACAACATGTAAAAGGTGGAGATTTGAACTGATCAAAGATACTATTATTAAGTTGGTATTTTAGTGTTTATATTCTTAAATCTAATGTTTTCACCTTTTGTGGTCAAATTTCATCAGAAAATTATGGTCTTGGTTCTCAGTTCATATTCGTTGGATACATTAGAGAGATTCAAAAAAATATTATTTTCACCATATATTCATTAGAGATTGACATGTTGGTTATGATTTTGAGTAATTTTCAGTGAAAGAGAGGGAACTTTTGCGAACCTACTTTACTCATCCTTTCTTTAATGTTGACCCTGCGGCTTCAGTCGGTGGGGTTGGTCGAATTTGGGACATTTGAACTGATTTTTTTAACCTGCAGTTAATAAGATGAAAAGGTGAGCAAGAAAGGTTCCACTAATTTTATGCCAAAACTTGCAATTAAAGCACTAATCCATTTACATATAATATATATAGAAGTCGAATGTCTTTCCAATTTTGTAACATTTGCTGTCATTTTCTCCCTCTTCTTACTCTTTGGCTTGGTGGAATCAAGCATTATAAATGGCTTTGTTTTGCGAAAAGAGGGCTTTATTTCGCTGAGCTATACGATGACTTCAATACTACATTGAATAAAAAAGTGTACCCAATCCCCAGATGGTTTCCATATATATATGTTCCAATTATGGGTCAGATTTCTGGTCATGGTAAAGCAGAACACCGACCCATACGATTTTTTTAACCAATGATTTCAAGCTGACGACACCTGATTATGATGCGTGACCGAAAGATATGTACCTACCAAAGAAAATCTGACCAAATGCCATATAATTCATGTGTAAAGTTGTTTCTTCCAAAATCCCATTTGACAGGGCCACCCAACAGAACCATCGGATTAGTTTAGGTTGCTGCAGGCAAAAAATCAAACATGTCGAGGACAAAGTATGTGCTTTCTATATCGCAGATGCTGCTTTCGAGCACTACAAACTAAGATATCAAATTTCATTGAAGAAAAAATTAGAATCAGAAGAGTTGACGCTTTGGGAAGCAATTTGATTCCATACCTTCCATGAACTGGACGAACTCCAGAGTCCAGAGCTAATTTTGACTCGGAACTGCACCCCCCTTGTTTGGATTGGAAACGGATAAGTTGAAAGTAAATATAATTAAGAAGTTTTGTCATCATTATTGCTATTGTAAATGAGAACTTGAAAGTTGTAAAGGCTAGAAAAGGAGTTCACTCACTGGAAATTTGCTATTACTGCTGCACCAAACCGAATATGGCTCCTCGCAGAGTACCGGCACCAGATTTGCAGAATTTACCAATTCATCGTCATCCACTGTCACCGTTTGGCCTCTCTTCCATTTACAATCTGTTTTTCTTACAAAATTACTGCCTCGGTAGCAACTGAAGATGATCTCCTTTAAGCTAATGAACAGAAAAACCTTGTGTTCAAGTACTATTGCTCTTGCTCGAGTACCAATTACATCTTTAAGCGAGAGCAGGAGCAAATAGCAAAAGAGGACGTTCCAATGCCCGTGTAACTTCTTTCCACATCATAATTTCAACAATTCAGAACATAATTTATTTACAATCCCATGGTTGGGTGATTCCTTGCTTTTACACAATTACAACAAACAGGAGTCCCTTCCCCTGTCATATGAATAGTGCAATAGAAATGGATAGTAAAAGTCGAAATGATAAAATGGGGAAAACTGAGTTCAGGATATACACAGTTGCCTCATAGGTGTAAGCAGCCTTGAAAACCTAAGGGGGACGTATGCCTGCACCAATGTCCCATTCTCTGTATATTCCTGCCAGTCATAAGATGACAATAGAAATTACTGGAGAAGCAAACAAGTGGTGACCACGAACAACATAGAGATCAAATTGATCCCTGTGATTTTAAGGAGGAGTCGCCCAACATTAATGTTCGTTTCTTGGCATCTAAGACGGTGTCAAAAGGTTTATAAGCCACTGCTAACAAATATGTATTGTTTAGAGCAATGGCAGTTTCAATACAATCTATTAATGTAATGATAGAAAGTCAAGATAGCAGGAGTAATGGACATTAAGTGTGGATTTTGGATCGGTTTTGAGAATGACATTTTCAAATAAATTACTTTTCCATCCAACATTTTTTGAAATACACTAATCAAGTGTTTCTACGGAATGCAATCTCAAGATATTAAAAAAATCTGGAATGGGTATAACAAGAATACTAAATTAATCGAAAAGGATCATCCATAACTTACAGTTTTCTCCACCACTCCAACCTGATGCACAGTGCTCAGGAGCTCACCTCTATCAAATGGGATCAAGGCTTCCACCCAAACCATTGAGTCCTGTCATTGAAAACAATCATTCCTGATCTTGTCTTTATATTTCAGGTTAAAGCAGTGCCAGCTGCTGCAAATACAAAGAATTGAGAAACACAACTATTTTCAAGAATACACAAACATAATGCACCTTCAATTTTCCCTGAACTGCATCACAGAATTTGTCCAGACCATCACCACTCAACGCAGATACACAAACAACATCTCCTCTCTTCTCCGCTTCCAGTCTAACAAGTTCAGGATCATCAACCTTGTCAACCTGCCAGAGCCATGTATATATTTTGACTTTTGTGGTCAGAGATACATATTAGAATTAGATGAGGAACTTGAATTTATGCAAAAAAATTACCAACAAGGATCCTATACAAAAGCTACAAGACTGAGCTATGGGAAAAACAAAAGGCCATTTTATGTAGAACATATGACAAGTTGGAAGAGAATTCCATAAAAACGTAGAACTCTGGACCGTTGTTAGAATAACATAAACAAAAAAGAGACTGAAACCAAATCAATGCAAGCAAGGTCAACGACAAACAAATTATTTTACAAGTAAATATAAAATATTTAAGTTTAGAGGGGGGAAAAAAAGAAGTTAACTTCCTTATTTTATTCCAGAACAGTTTCTCTCTTTCTTTCTTTTTTTTTCTTTTTTGCAAGATTTTTTTTTTCTTTTTCTTTACCTTGTTCCATACCATCAACTTGGGAATTGATGAAACATCCAGTTCTGAAAGAACTTTGTCCACAGCTTCTATCTGTTGCTCAGCCAGCGGATGGCTGAAGTTTAAAATATCCAATTCAGAAGAATAAGATAGGGTAATTAGGAACATTACAAATAGACTAACCAATCACCTGATGTCCACCACGTGAACCAGCAATGACGATTCTGATATCTCCTCTAATGTTGCTCTGAATGCAGCAACCTGTGGGACTTAACGGAAAGTTATTAAAGCAATCTGGGGATTTTACTACAAATTTTAAGAAAGACAAATGAAAGACCATTCTCGTCAAAATTAATGAGACTAAAAAAATATCAGATTAATGGTACCAGCAGATTCAGAATGAAATGATAGATGACGTGTGACTATATGATGCTTATCTTGATGCTGCAAATCTCACCAGCATAGTTGGTAACTTTTGGATGAAACCAACAGTATCTGCAAGGAGAAACTCGTTCCCATTCTTCATCTGGAGAGTGTGAAACAAGCATTCTTAAGTGAACAAAATTAAGTAGAAAATAGTTTTAAACTTATACATACCCATTTTATAGGGCTTACGTTCTAGTGAAATTTTTGGAAATAAATATCATCAGTAATTAAAATAATTAATGAGATGAAATTCTGTTATCTTGTATGTTTTTCTATTCAATACAAACTTATCAATTGTCTTTTTATAAACAAAATTTGGGCACCCTTTTTGCAGTTAAACTTCCTATGATTTTCAGGATAGGTAAAACAAGGATATAGTTATGTGAGATCTAATTTATTTCAACGTAGAGGATTGGACAGCTTTCAGAAAAATACTTCCCTAACTATTCCACCCTTTGGCACTCATGTTAGGGGGACATCTAATCAACCCTTCTCTCCTATAAACTTTTCAGTTGATACAAAAATGTTTCTTATCACAAAAAAGGTAGACGGTGGTAAATAAGAAAATTAATTTATAAGAAGAATTTGTTGAGCTTCATTAGTTGAAGAGTGGAAGAGGTGCAAAAGGAAAACTAAACCATTCACATCTCAGCGTTGTATATTGCTGTGGACGACCCAACCATGAATACAATGAAGTGTTTGTAAAAAGGAAGGTTTACCAAATATCTCATCCGAACTTCAATAGCAGCTAAAACCTAATTTTTCAATTGCATTACTCAAATGCCAAGTAGCCAGCAATTACTTGTGATGATGGTAATACAAAGTCTGGCTGATAGTACCTGAACTCTTCTTGTAGTTGGATCAAGGGTTGCAAACAATCGATCCTCCGCAAGAACTTCAGCTCCAGTCAATTGATTCAAGAGCGTGCTCTTTCCAGCATTTGTGTATCCAACCTAAAACGTCATGCAGAACTTCTAATAATCTGTTAACAATAGGAACTACCCTCATATACACAAAAAGTATTAAGTAAAAGAAAATACATGCTCATGTAATTTGCTTACCAGAGAAACTACTGGGACAGGTACAGAAATGCGTCGGTTTCTGTACTGTTTTCGATGCATCCTAACAGACTCTAATTCCTTCCGGAGAACACCAATCTAGCAATGGATATTTACTTACATTCAAATTCATGTTCAACAAATAAGCTAAAGAATAAGCTTTGAACATAGACATATCATACATAATCAAAATATCCTTATTGTGAGAAAATTGGACGGAAGTAGGAACATAAATAAGTAAGCCGTTGATGAAAATTTAGGATACATTCATTAATATCAAAAATAATGAATGTAAAGGAACAGTAGCATAATGAAACAATGTTCTTCTGGCATAAACTTTGTTTCAACAATAGAAGCTAAAATGTGAAGGTGGATTCCACGTTAATTTACAATTGTACAGAGATCTTAAAAAAATGATATCCATCCTTCTTTCCTTTTCTCCCCTTAACTTATCAAGTGCATGAGAAATATCCTGTTTCTTGAGCTAAAAATTAGAACAGTAGAAACAAATACTGATTATACTAATATTACAAAAATAAAATTGCTTACTTGTGTTCGTAAGATACGCTTATCCACTTCAATTTGTTTCTCACCCATACCTTTCACCTGTCCTCCTGCTTGACGCTCAAGATGAGTCCACATCTTTGTAAGTCGTGGTAACTGGTATTCCATTTGTGCCAATGCCACCTAGAAAGAAAGAATTCCTTCAGAAAGAAGAACTTAAAGAATATCATTACATCCAACCAAAAAAGCAAAAAAGATGAATCCTTTGAAGATAACTAAAGATATTTCACTCAAGTGCATAAATATTGCCTGTAGAGATGCCTCGTGTGTTGCTGCTCTCTGATTGAAGATATCCAGGATTAGGGCAGTACGATCACAAACTCTAACATCTCCACCGAATGATTTTTCCAAGTTCCGCAATTGCCTAAAAGAACCGACTATAAATTCTTTGACAGGGGAAAAAGGTTCAGTTCTCATTAAAAAGGACATAGATATATAACACGAATACAGTTCCAAGCCCCCACACAACTTGCCAAATATCAACCCTTAATCACAATTAAAGTAAGTGAATGGAAGCCCCCACACAATTCTAATGAATAATTACAAAAGTCCTTAGAGACCAACCCCAAGTAGAGGCATTAAACCTAGACAACGACCACACCTCCTCCCAATATCTCTCCATATCTCTAAAAATTATATCGTTCCTCTCTAGCCAAAGACCCCATAGGATAGAATGGTCAAAAGGATTATGATAGAGCTATGAAATATTAGTTGGGAAGATGTGTCGTTCCCTTGCTCATGAGAAATGAAAATATCTATTAACAGAATGGTCAAAAGAAATAAGCTCACCCGGCGGAAAGCTCATCATCAAATATCACAGTCTCTATACCCAACGCATGAATTGCACTTTTGATTTCTGCAACTTTGCCGGATCCTATGTAAGTCCTAGGGTTTGGAGAAGCTAGCCTGCAGTTCATTATATCCAACGAAAAAAAAAGGCTAAATAATGAAATATTCTAAGGGTGGCGAGCATAAAAAATGCAGCATTTATCAGATTTTTAAAACAAGTATTAAGGCCAGTTTGATAACAGTATCATTTTTAGCTCTTTGTTATTAAAAATTAAGCTTGTATACCCACAATTTATTTGTTTTGATTTTCATATTTTCAAGAACAGTTCTAATTCTTATCCAAATTATAATATCAGAAAAAGAATTTTTCTTTTAGTTTTTAAAAATTGGCTACAATTTTTTTAGTAAAAGATTGCGAAGTTTATTTTAAAATAAAAAATAAAGAAATTAAGAGTAAATAAGCTTATTTGAGAACAAAAAACTAAAAAGACAAGTTATCAAAGCCAAACGGGCACTAAGTAACAACTATCCATCAGTATGCTGAAAAGAACAGAACGGAAAAAAATTGCAAGCATGTTTAGAAAAATAAATAATAAACCTCACATCAAAGACGTTGGACATCCTTGCACAAGATTCTAAAAGAGGGGCAATTTTATATAACCACTCACCATCATTTGAAAATATGTTATTTCTAACACTAAGATATGCATCATTCTTAGAAATTTCTTGATATCATTGAACTTGGTTTCCACGTTAACCCAGTAAATGATCATATATATGTAAGGAAAATCAAGCCAAATTCCCTAATGTCCTATGACACTTGGTTTAATTTGAGAATTTTCTTTTTATTATTATTATTGAATAAGAGATAGAGACTTTCATCAAGAACAGAAGCACAGCCAAAAAGCCAGGTTGATCAGTGATATTTTCGAACAGAATAAAAACAGCAAATTGAGAGGAAAAAGAAAACATAAAACTGTTATATTCCAAATACGCCCCAGAATCAATCAAAGATATGAATGAATTTCAGATTGCTTCTGCATTACGTTTATCTACAGAAAGGAACACAGAAGTGTCCATAGAGCTCACTTTTGATATGTTGAACCAACGACCATTAGTCCAGCTGTATCGGCTAACTGTGCTAGTTCTTTCAGAGATTCATCTATGCTAAAAAGTTGGTCAACATCTCCTTTCCGCTCTACGCCAACAAGATAGGCCTTCTCTTCAAAAACCTGAATTGATGAATACAATTCAAATTCCTCATTTCTATTTATTTAAAAAAAGAGTACAAGAGACAGATAAGATACATAAATCTATATTTTTTATCGAAAGAAAAGTTGCAAGCATTAATTACAATCAAATGTAGAAGAATGAATGGAGAAAGCCAAGTATGATTCTCTTCCACGAATTACTTTAAAACAAACACTTTATCAAAAATGTTTGAATTGCGTATCCTAACTGTATCCTACCGCATCCTCTATGTTCCGTGTATCTAGTACATATCTTTCCCCACATATGGGAATGCGCTCTTTAATTCCGACGAGGTGCTTTCTAAAATTAAAATAACTCAGTCCAGAATTTTGTTAGTCGTGTTGATATTTAAAGCAACTATCCAATCTCATAATCTCCAGTTGATGTATACCACCCTCTTTCTGTCTTCGCATCTTCACATCTGATATCCTCATTTGCGGTTGTCGTTATTCATCACACACAAGAAAAATTATCAATCCTCCACTCCACTCAAATATAGAATAATTCATGGATTCTACCTAACGTTGTTTAACTAAACCATCTAATCTTCAAAAGCAAGCGTCCTATTCCACGTCATGTAATTAGATAATCAAATGGGACAGAGGAATACGAAGCATAAATGAAAGAAATGCATCGAAATTAAGGCGCATAAGAAACTTAGTTTCTTAAATTATTTCTACACTTCGAAGAGAACAGGGATTAATAGCTAAAAAGCGCTGTTCGGTGGGGAAAAACAAGGCTCGAAGAAACATACCTCCCTTCCATTTCGCAGCTTAAACCTATCCTCGAGGCTGTCCCCATCTTCTACCTTTTTTTTAACCCTACTCGATAACTGTGATTTAGGCTCTGGTTCAGTGCTGGAGACGCCATCGATAAGCTCGTCAACATCTTCGTTTCCCTCTACTTCCTGGATAGGCTTGACAAAAGCACCGTAGAGAGGGAGGTCATCAGAGGGCACAACGGCAGGCCCTTGTTGAAAAGCACTGCCAATGGTTCTGAGAGAACTTCTCGAATCGTTTTGTAGGATGAAGGGGAAAAACTGGCGATTCAGGTTCGAAGGAGTGCATGAAAAACAGGTTTCCCGGATTGAAGGAGGGCGGGGGGAAAAACTGGCAAGAGAAGCGCTCGTCATCGATAGGATATGCTCGCGGGCTCTGAACAAAAACGACTCCCATTATATATGTTTTTTTTTCTTTTTTTTTTTTCTTTTTTGAGTTCACTCGCACTCCTACTATATATATTTGTAATTTGTAATGTTGTCGTCCGTTGCAGTCCCTCTTTTATTCCAATATTTGAACTTCAAATTAAGGGAGGAGTACATTGTTAATCAATATAATATTTATGTTGTAGCCATGTTACATATATTAAATTATCTGAAACTATTTAAAATAGTTTTAAATTTTCTTCTTTCTTCAAACAAAATTAATTTCATACTTCGTGGTTTGCGATTGTTTATATTGTTATAACTATTAGAGTAATTGTACCATACATTTAGATTGGTGAGTTACATGTTGTTGAGGTGAAATATATATATATATATATATAAAATAGTGTTTACAAATTTTAAATTTTAAACAAGTAATATAAAACAACACGTACTTGAAAGTTTGTTGGGGAGGAACTAAGATTTTTGGGAAATAAATCCCAAAATCTGCTATTAACCATAGTTTATCACTTGTTGTAAAAGTTATTTTATTTAGGAAATTGCATTGAGAACATCTTTTATATATTTTAAAATATGTCACTTGTTTTTTTTAATATAGTACAAAATTATAATTATGATTTTTGAATGTTTCGTTATTTCAATCTTATCCTTTTTATTTTTCCAAAGCGTGTAAAATTTCTCCTATTCTCCTCCGTTCGTATATCATACACTCGTATTAATAACATATTAGATATATATCATATACATATTATATAAATACTTATATCAATATATCATATGTATTTAGATGTATATCATATACATATTTCCAAAATTTCAGACACTCGTATTAGTGATATATCGGATGTATATCACATACATGTTACACAAATACTCATTTCAGTATCATATACATATATCAATAGTCATATATATTATATATATTACATATCTATATCACATATATATTATAGATATAGCACATACAAATATTATATATATATATATATATATATATATATATATATATGTATATGTAACATACATGTTCTAATTTTTTTAAGTCTCTTTTGGTTATTCTTTTGATGGGCTTCCCCAAGTTGGGCTTATGTTAGGGGTTTTCTACGATTGTGGTTGGGCTTGTAGGTAAAGCTAGCATTTTAAAATCGGACTTCCAAATTTTTTTAAAAAAAATTATTATATTTGAAAAAATTAAATGTTATTGCTATTTTGGTAATTTTGCTACATATTCTTACCATAGTTGCACCTGCCTCTTTTATTTGAACTAATATACGATTAATTTTATCAAACGCAAATACCACAAACAATTAAAGTTCTCCCATGTAAAAAAGAATAAAAACCCTCAATAATCACATTTCATGTGAGTATAAGTTAATCTCGTATGAACCCTTTTAACTTTAATGTTCTCACTTTTACCAACATTCATTATGATTGATAATACACAACTTGAAATGAACTTTATATTGATGGATTAGGGGAGGATGAACATGTGAGCACAAATACATAGATTTTTTTAGTATGACAAACGTAAAATATGAAGATTTGAAACTTCGATTGGAAGGAAAAAATAAGCATACGTATATGCTGTAATGACAACAAATAAATAGTTATTTGTATCATAAAAATGTCAATAATATTATTATGCGTATATTACATACAATTTTGCTATATATCCCCATAATTGGGTGTGTTCTTGCTTCGTCATTCATGACTTGTTATTGGTTAACAAACGCAAATATTTTAATGACACTTGTATTTATCCTTTTTCCTTGTATTTTCATATATTACTCATAAATTTTAAATTGCCTTTTTTATAGTACAATAATATATGAAGATGAGAATTTAAATTCATGATATTTTGCCTCGACTATTTAAGTTATGTTCGTAGTATTTTATGTTTGTCATATTTCAGTGGTACACTTTTAAATATTGCGTGTTTAGCTTTTAAACTCTATATATATACACATATTTTACTATTTATCGTTATTTTGTTATTGCTTATTTATCATTGTCACATTAACAGTAATATATATATCAGTGTACTTTGCTAAAGCAAGCATAAATTCGATGATAATTGACATATATCTCAAATCGAGTAATTGTGAGTTTAATCTCTCAACCCCATATATTGTAATAAAAAATCAGTGAATTTAATAAAATAACTAGTAAAAAATAGAAAAATACTTGGTTCGTGACTAGTAAGGACCAATTTGTCTTTACCACAATTAAATATTTGACAACTCAGAGAGATGAATGCAAAAACATAATTTTCTTAAAAAAAATGATAAGTTCTTAAATGTGATGAATGCAAAAACATAATTTTCTTAAAAAAAATGATAAGTTCTTAAATGTGGTAAAAATAAGGTTGAGTCCTCTAGCCAAGTATTTTCTTAAAAAATTTAGGTACTAAAATGTAAGAAAAAAAAAATTAACAAGAGAGGAGACACAAGGATAAGACTCGGGCAATGTAAATAAACCACGTGGCAATTTTGTCTGGCACGGCGAGGTGCCTTGTTCCTCGGAGAATCAAAATAACCTGCCCGGCGTAAACGGAACGGAAATTTAGCGAAGGTCGCCACTTCCCAAGGCAAGAGAAACAAACGGCCCAAGAACGGCGTCAACGGGACATTTTCTACGCAACGAACTAATGTCGAAGAAACTCGTCGATGCGGTTCCAAATTGGCAGATTCTATAATCCTACCTCTGATAAGGCACGTGGCAAGGCCACATGCCCACGATTAATCAATTTCATTGCAAGTATTATTTTTCAATAATAAAATAATCTTCTCTTTTTTTTTTGATAAAAAAAGAACCTTCTTTTCATCCGGTTTCGTAAATTAATTTAATTGCTTACGCTATGATTTCATTCACTTCAAATTAAAATGCAGCATTACATTCAGTGCCTTTTCATTAAAAAAAATTATAATTGAATAACGTCTCTTAAAGATTCTAGATTATCTATTAGATTCTTAAATTTTAAAAAGTACCTAATGAATCCTTAAATATTTAATTTTATGTATAATAGATAATGGAAGCATTTAATAGGTTTTTTAACTTTCAATTTTATGTTTAATAAATGGTTGACATGTTCCATATATTTTTTTTAACTAACAAATCTATTAAATATAAATTCTAATTTTTATTTATAATTCAAAACTTTTATTTTTGTGAATAGTCAGTTAGAGACTAGATACGAAATTAAAAGTTTATAAATCTATTACATAAAAAATTGAAAATTTAGAGACTTAATAAATATAAATTCGAAAATTCGTAAACTTATTGATCAATAACTCCATAATTAAAAGTTAAAAACTTGAAAGATGTGAATTTAAATTTATGGACTAAACGAATAAAAATAGAAAATCAATAGTCAATATTTTAAAAATATGATGTATGAATAATGACATGCCCTAATTTAGATTTATGCTGTTTTGATTTTTGTTGGTTTGTTTGTTTTTTATTTATTTTTTTACTAAGTTAAATAACAATCGAAAATAAGAGAATTTACAATTTATAGGAAAGGACATTTAATATTCAGTCAGGCAAGTTGTGCTGGGATCGACATTAATATAAAATATTAGGTATCATCTGGTATATCAGGACTTTAGTCAAATAAATTTCAATTATTTCTCAAGGAAAAAAAATCGATTTTGAGTTGAATTATCCAGTAACGCTGGGTTGGGAATTGGGATCCCATTATTTGAAAGGGCTGTTGCTTTCAAATGAAAGTTCACCATTTTTAAAACTCACAGGCTGGAGGACAGCCTAACAGGCCCTTTGGCCAAATAAATACATGTCGAATTTATTTTATTATTCTTATTTTTAATCGATAGACTTACATTCAAATTTTCAAATTATAATTGTTAAACCAAAATATAGTTTTGGCAGTAAATGAAATATTTTAGTTTCCAACTTAATCTCTAGAATTTAAACTTTTTCCTTTTTTAAATATTAAACCTTGGATCTAAGTATATCACTAAGTGAAAATAATAAGATATGTTTTGTTAAAAATAAAAAATAAAAACAAATAAGGTACATATATTAGATAAATTAGGTAAAAATCATGAATATGCAATAATAATAAAATGCCGTTGATAGTTTTCTTGCAATAATAGAGACAACATAATTGATGCGTAATTATTATCCATAAAGTGTAAAAATGCAATTAACCAATAACATAAAATATATTTGTTTCAAAATAAAAAAAAACTAATAACATAAAATAAATAAATATTTAAAGATATTGTACATTTGAATTTGTAGAAAAATAACATGACCCAAATCATACTTATGAGTAATATAAAATATATTAGGGAAAATGTTACTTAAAGAATATTTTATAAAATAGCTTTCATCCTACTCCCTGAATTTGAAGGGAAAAACATGTAAACGATCAGTAATTATAAGGTATATTTTATATTTTTTAACTTTAAATAAGATAATAAAATATGGGGATTTTTTATTTTATTTTATTTTATGAGATTAAGGCAAATTGGATTTGAAATTGGCAGTGGTCCATCCAACAAAGCGGGACAACCGGAGGATGAAAAGGCGAAGGGTAGGGGCACCGGCCACATGCAATCGAAGAATATTGTTCCACTTCACGTGACAATACCAAATTAATATCCTTTTCATAAAATGATTGTGTGCACTTTTTTGCCCACTCATACTCCACACATTTCACACATTCCCATTTTAAAAGGCCAATATATATGAGGCAAAAACATCTATTCATTTAATTTGAGGTTAAATGTTTAAATTCATACAATTTATATCGCTACTATACTTAAAAAAATATATTTTTATATGTATAACTTTGTGAATATTATAAATTGAAATCACCACGTGTAAAATAAATTATCAGTGTCTTAAACATTTAATTATGTTTAAATTAATTTATAATTCATATTATGATTTTTAAAGTCAAGGTTTTAAATTTATTTTATAAAGACATGTATTTTTACATTATGAACCCATATCTAAGTAAGCAATAATTGAAG